GCTCTTCCCACATCAACTTAAATGCAACTTCAAGTCCTTTCACACAGTGAGGGGGAATAAATCAAGAAGAGAAAAAAAAATATTCAGAACAGATGGGTACTCAGAAAACTGGAATGTTATCCATAGATTTGAAGTAACAAAGGCATTCAGGTGATTTTTTTTTCTTTTGCTGATAAAAATACACAAGGATCTCGTATCTAGTCACCAATTAATGAAAATTTTCACAATAAAAAACCATCAGATCCTGCTCTGTTGACTTAAAACTTGTTTAGCTCACCTTCTTAGAAGAAACAAAGGTAGTGTTCTAGGTAGGCATATTTAAGGCTGAAAATTATACTTTGAAATGTAGTATGAAGAAAAGCAAACTGATGAGGAGTTTAGACTCCCTAACCTCTGAGTTTCCTTTTGTTGTTGGGAATTTTTCATGTACTAGTTGGCTTTAAGAAAAAAAAAAAAAAAAAAAAGAGCCTGAAAGCTAGGAGGACCTCAGCATAACCTGCAGTAACTGCTACTGAAAACTAGTATTTCTGAAAGGTCCTTTTCAACTATTAGTTCTTTAAGCAGTACAGCACAAAAGCCACGTTTACTTTATAGGTTGTCACTGATGTTTTAAAGTTACACAAAAAACCCAAACTACTACACACCTCCCCCCTACCTCTCCTTTGTTATCTCCCAAGAAAGAAATCCCAGGTATTCTTTATTAACTGCTTAAAATATCATTAAGGATATCTTATTTAAATGAATCGTGGTTTCCTGGTAGCTCCTTTCTGGTAGAGATGAAGACTGAATCAGGCAGACTATTAAAAAAATGTACATATTTGGGGGATATTTATATGCTGGGAGACAGCATCTTACTCACATATCATGAGTACAGTCAAAACTCAAATGATGACAAAGCTGATTTTATAAATTTCAGGCTGAATTTAACCCTTTCTGTGCTGAAACTGAAGACAGTGAAAAGCTTATATTACATGTCTACAGCAATGCTAATTCTTTTATTGGATAATTTCAAGAGGAAAGATGTGCCTGATGGACAAACAATGCATTTAAGTAAGGATCCTGGTAAAAATTTGCCACTCTCCAAATTTAGCCAATGTCAGCACCTGGTAATTATACGAAGAACAAAACACATAAAAATATACTGTACTTTTTGCTGTTAGTCCTATTGCTTTGGATTTTTTTCATTTATATTAGCATATTTTTGGATACTTGCTTTTCTGTTTAGGCTTGCTGCCAGGGATGCTACCGGGAGTTTGTATTGTGGGTGGAAATGCTCCAGCAAGGCAACAAAACAACAACAACAAAATAAATTAAAAAACAAACAAACAAACCAGGAACAGACTGAACTGCTGACTGTGGATAGCCACACCACTGCAATTGCCACCACTCTCCCAAGACCTTCAGAAATGCTGCTTCCAGCTCCTCCTGCCTCCTCTGCCGCCTGGCACTGCAGGACAACAGCCCACATGCTACATTCAAAGCAGCAGCAGCAGAGGATGCTCTAATTTAGAGGATAAACAAAGGCGAAGAGAACTGTGTTTTTGAGGGTAACATTAAAAATAAACATGTGAACAGAACATTCCAAGTCCTCTGAAGACTTCGATAAATTTATCAATTTTTTTCTAATTATTTTTCCTCTCTTTTCCCTCCCTTCTCAGGCATGAAGAATAATACACCTTGCTACTTGCAGTTTAAGTAGTTCATGAGACAACAAAAGGACCTGCTTGCTGCAATCAGGGTAAGCACACCAAAATCCTGTTTGCTGGCTCTGAAGCATGAACGATCAATCCTCCAATTGTGAGCATTACTTTCCAAAACCATGCACATGAACAACAGCACATCCAACAGCACTAGCAAGGCAGAAGCCAATGAAGTATCTGATTATTTTTAGAACATTCAATGGACTTGATAGCTTGTCCCTACCCATCTGTGCCCACTGCAAGTCCTGGAAAGACATACGGGGCAGGGCGGGGGGGTAATAAAAAAAAAATCAATATCGTGCAATTCTCTAGATATATTTTCACAGCCCTGTAGAGTCAGTATCTCTCAACTTTTCATGAAGTACAAAAATACTGTAATTCCTTACTTTGCAAATGGGGAACTAAACTACAGGAAGTACCTCCACATGCTCAAATGAGAGCGGAAGAGCAATGTGGGGAAGTGTCCCCTCACTAACTTCAATCCAACCAGCCTCAATAACCAGCAGCAATGAGAACAAGGGAGGAGGTGACTTTGACAAGGAGGCAGTTATTTTCTGTGTAAAATTTAAACTGACAGACCCTGGAGACCCATAGCACAGTCTCACCTTTACTTGGCTCTGCAGGCATATGCATAGAAATGAAAGCTCAGATCCACAAAAGGAAATAAAAATCCCAACTTCTCTGAAGATCTAGGTTTAAATGGCTCCTTCAGGAAACACAAAAAAAAAGCAATGAATTGACTTTAGGGAAACCAAGTCAAAGGTGGTACCTTAACAGGGGCCCCACAAGGCAAGCAATGGTGGCAGTGATCCTCCTGTGAACAACAAGCAGGGGAGGCGAGAGGTCTCAGCACAAATTTTCCACAGCTAGGAAGACAGAGCAGATTACAGCAGAAGGCTCCCAGCGAGACAAT